GATGATGTGTATCGGAATAATTTCTGTGGTTATTACAATGATTATGAGTCATTAAGAGGAAAATAAACAAATTATGATTCATTCATACAAAAGAGATCTATTCAGCAATGAAACATAAAAATTGATATACGCAAACAATGAATCTGTTTCATAAACATTATGCTGATTTTAAAAAGCTGGATGCATGAGAAGTCTGTAGCATGTGTTCTATTTATATAAATTATTTGAACAGGCAAAGCTCACTTATGGTGACAGAATTCAGATCGGTGGCTGCTTTGGTGAGAGGATGCTGTGGTGCAGTGAGAAGGGGGATGCAGCCCTCTTGGGGATGGGCTGTGTCTTATATGCATTCACAAAACTGATTAAATGGCATCACTAACATTGCACTGTATGCAAAATATAATTACATTTTCATAAATTCTAGTTCTTATCTTCTACCACCAAAGCATTTGAGTTGATAAAAATATTTTTATTATAGAATAGATTCAGGTTACGAAAGTTCCAAAGATAAGGAGTCCATATATGCTCTCTACCCATCCTCCATTATCAACTTCTCACATGACTGTGCTGTTTTATCACAATTTGAGTCATAAATTGACATATGATTATTAACTAAACCTCAAATTTCCTTTGGAATTTTTGTTCATTATCCCTGTGTCTCTTTTCTGTCTCAGTTTATGGGATGAGGACCACTGAAGAACAATGCCATTCTCATGGCATTAGAGTGATTATACATATGATTAAGATTTATCTCATGCTGCCCATCCTGATCAATGAATAGGGGACCATGTGCATTTTCAAATAAGATCCTTAGATGTTTCAAAGTACCACGTTTAATTTTATCATTTTAGAGAAGGCTAAGTAAGGTGGTACAATGGTGGGTAACAGAATTCCTTGTTCAAAATTGCCTCATTGATCAGCAGTGATGTCTGCCAATGTTACTTCATGTGCTCTACAGCTCTATGTTTGGGGAAAATCTCTATGTTTGGTTCTTTCTGTTTCTTTGCTTTGATAAACCATCTTTCCTTCCTAGTGCCTCTATTTATATTAAAGATCATGAGCCAGGTAAGGTGGCTCACGCCTGTACTCCCAGCACTCTGGGGGGTTGTGGCAGTAGGACACTTGCCAGCTCAAGACCAGCCTGGCTTACAAACTGAGCTCAAGGCCACCTTTAACTGCATAGTGAGACACTGTCTCAAAAAAATTCAAGTTATTCCACATACAAGTTCCACCTAGTAACTCTCCTTTACTGGGGGTCAAACGCAGGATCTTACACTTACCAGGAAAACTCTTATGCTGCTGAGCTCTGTCCCCGGACCAACTGTCCTTGGCCCAACACCTTAGAATCACCCCAATAATTCTCTGAGGATCTCAGTTCCTTCTCTCTCTGCTTCATAATTATTCCTCTAATATTTCTCATTGCTTTCATAACCCCACCTGTACTTCTACCAGTACATGACCTACCTGCCCCTTGATCTGCACTCCAGTGATCTCTCTGAGCTCAGCCAAGGTCAAAAGTACATTTTACCATCAATAATCATTTTATCATCTCCATAATTCCAATTTTTATGATTCCACCCAAACATCTACTTTCTATCCATTATCTTCTATCATTCCACATTCATATGAATAGTCTAATTCCTTTAATTCATTGCCAAAAAAATATAAAACCAAGCAACGAAAAGCTCCATCATTTCTAATCAGTTGAGCCGTCCGCAGCCAATGACCCTACATACCCTCAGATCCTTTCTTTCCTGACACTTTTCTCAGGTTCTATGGTCCAATATTTCTTACTGTATAAACTCTTCACAATCAACACAAATCCTTTGTGAATCTTGCTCCTGAGGTCTAGAAGCTGAGCATGAGCAGTATGGAAAAGCTGCATCATAACATACTGTTGTGCTCACACTAGCTTCATGAATGCATTCAGAAATGATCCTTTGAGGTCAGGGATACAGCTCAGCAGCATGCGGTGCCTGCCTGGCAAGTGCAAGTCCTGAGTTCAATCACTGCTCACTCTCTCCCCAAAAGGAGAAAGAAATTGCCTTTAGCATTGCACTATGACAACTGCTTTATTTTCATTTGCCTGGTGGCATGGGGATTGTTTCATACCTAATCTTTTCTCCTCAGAGTTCTACTACATTCTCTTTTCTGATTGCCCTCAAACTCCTATTGCCTCCCCCTGAGGTTTAGTGAATAAGTTCACTCTGAACTATCAAAAACACTAGTCAGACACTCTGATTAAATGATAAAGCACCCATAATCCTTTCCTAGCTGAGGCTAACTGATCTAATTAACTACTGAATTCAGTCTAGTGAAGGCCTTTTCTCTTCCTATGACAGGCTTTCTTCTATAATAATTTTTTATCAATGGCTTGTTTCTCTCCATCTATGAATATATACCCTTCTAGAGAAACTGTCTCTTGATTCTGTCTCCTCACATCTTTGTTTATCAGAGAAGAGATGAATAGATAATATATCTCCTTCCTCTCTCCCATATTTCCTTGATCCCCCTTCATCAGGACTTATACTCCTGCCAATGCCCAAGGGCTGCTCTTTCCAGAGTGCAGAAGACCTCTGTGTTACGTAAGTGGTCATTTATCAGGTACCCAGTTCTACCAAACAAAATCATCTTCTAAAGCCCTTATTACTTGAAATACTTACTTTACTTGGTCTTACAGTACTGAACTTATTTTTCCATACCTTCCTTTAATAATTTCTCTATATCCCAAAATATCTCTGAACATTGTAATTATTTTGAGAAACAAATAGCAATGAGATAGTTTCAAATCAAATTAGTAGGACAGTTTCAATAATTAATACATTTCATATTGTTTTCTTAGTGGTTATTCATTGCAGACATGATATCCTGTTTACAAATACTTTTAGAACAAATCTTTCTACCCATTCAATTAAGAGAATGTAGGTGTATATCTATCCTAACTATTTTGAATATACAGATACAAAATGGTCATTCATTTGTATCCCATTTTTTGTTTAGTTTTGTCATTTAAATATTATAGGTGTACGAATTCAGCAAGACATTCCAAAATAGTCCAGTAGTCCATAATGGTAGTGGGCTTTCCATATGAATGGCAATGTCAGAAGTTGTTAACTTGAGCCTTTTACAGCTCAGCATAATAATATGGCTTTACTTTTTATACCACGTTTTTATATTTTTCTGCTGGATAGTTAAGACCAAGATAAAACAAGACCTGTATAACAAGAATTGTAGCTTTTGTATCTAATAAGGTCAGTCATATCTCCTCAGGATTTATCCTGAACCCTGTATGGCAGCAATGGCCATGACTCATCCACATGGCTGACACTAACAAAGGATCTACAAACTGCAGTACAGGGTTTCAGGATAAACATTTTAATTTGACAGGATACAGTACTCTCATTCAGGCAAAATCCTTCTCTCTTAGAGTTCTAAATATGATTCCTACCCTGAAAATCCAAATTTGTATTTTCAGATTGAACATCTCAAGGAAATTCAGACTCTTGACTTTAATACTTATAGATATGTAGATAGATAGATAGATAGATAGATAGATAGATAGATAGATAGATAGATATCTAACAGAAACATATAAAAGAAAATTTGCACCTAGCCGGTTAAGCAGACAAGGAAAAATTGACTCAAGACTAATGTAATAAGGAGAAAAACTGGATTATCTGTTGAGACCAAAATTAGGAGGGTTTTTAAGTAGTCGAGGGGAATTCCTGCAAGACCTCTGGCAGGCTGATGTCAAGGGGAGCACTTGTCTGGTCAGCAAGATTAGGCTGTTAGTTTTGCAACTGTTAATTTTTAAAGTTAGACTGATGCCTTTTGCAGGGGCTGGCTAATCCCATCCTAAGCCAAAGAAGCTCTACTCTAGTATCCAATTCACCTTAGAAATAGGACAGACTGCTGAAAAATCTACTCAATTTTTCCCTACCTGGAGTGTTATAGTGATAAAGGTACACTTGGGCTGGGTCATCCCTATCTGACCCTGCCCAAATCGCCCCAACCCCAAAAAGCAGAGAAACTATAAATATATCATGTTTAAAAAATAGTAAACTGTATTGATTTGTTGGAGATGCACTATTTATAATTGAAACAAAGTCCTAAGTTTCATGGCTTATTCTAATTTGTTTCATTTTAGCATCTATTAGAGGGCTTTCTTGTGTTTAAACATATTGTAGGTTTTCCCCCCTAATTGTTCTGTTTTGATGAGACTTATGCATTTTTAAAAAGGTAGCAAAAGCATTTTGTAATTTTTAACTTTCAAAACTTTCTTTTTAAAATTCCTTCAAAACTTTTCAAACATGTTTTAATTTAGAGAGATGATAGCTTGTATAGGTTACTCACTGTAAAATAATACAGGTGTTTCAGTATACCCCTTTGAAAAAAGCTTTGCTATAAATGAGGAACAAGTTGCATATTTTTAAAAGGACACGTTACCATCTATTATGACAAATAGGTAGATTTGAAAGGGAAAGAGAAGCATAGCACAATGAACTCTGGGAAACTATGTATTTTCCCATTCCATCATCAGAGCCACATAGAGACTTTAAAACACACATTTCTCTTTAGAGAATCATTGAATGACAAATGTGTACCTTATCAATAACTAGTCTTTGTTAGGCTCCAAAAGATACCCATACCCCAATTCCTTTTTCCCCCAAAATGTTACAATTCTCATTGTCACCATTGTAAATATTTACTGTGGTGGAATCATGACCCGTGTCTCAATTTTAGCCACATTGACCCATTCTGGACACCAATCAACAGTACCCATTCTAATCCAGAATGAGGCTTCAGGAAAGGTCCTTTGGAGCTTATTCATAGGTAAGGCTTCCCCATCTGTATGCAATTTGTTCTGCTAGAGGAAAACAAGGCACAAAAATACCTTACATTTGTGATAGGTGGATCCACCTTACTCTGACATACTAAATTAAGAAAAAATAATCACTGCATAGAAGATTCTGTGCTAAAAATAAATATAAGACATAAAACAATGTATCAATAGAAATACCAGGTTTAACATGCACAAAGGCAAGAACACCAATGATGCCATATACTCAGTTTCTATGGCACTGTCTTTTGAACATACCAGCATGAATAACTGTTTTTGTGCAGATACCATAAAGTCCAATACCCCAATTCTTACAACTTAAATATCACCTTACGTAGGAAAAGACCCTTTGCATATATAATTAAGGATCTTGAGATGAACAGGTTATCCAGGACTTAGGTGTCTGACTCTGAACTGTTATTATAGCAATCACTTTAGAGATACATTTTTTAAACACACATGCACAAGTGTGAAAACACATCAAAATGTAAAGGTAGATGTAGAGACAAAAGTTGTGTAGTCACAAGCTGTAGGGTGCCAGCAGCAGCAAAAAACTGCACAACATGAGGAAAGCATTCTCCCTTAGAGCTTCTGGAGGGACTGTGGTCTTAGTAACATTTCAATTTCAGCCCAGCAAAGCTCATGTTACATTTGTGGCTTCCAAACTATGAGGAAATAAATGTCTGTGGTTTGAAGCCACCAATTGCTGATATTTGTTAAGACAGTCATATGAAACTAATATGTAGTACCAAATCCTAATTTAACTAGAAAAGTAAGTGAAGCATGATGAAGTTGGCATTACTTGCTCCTGTCATTTGGGTCTGAAATGTCCCAAAACATTTGGTGTAAAATCTTGGTCCTCAGGTTGGCACTAGCAGGAGGTGATGAGAACAGAAGTGAGGCCTCGTGGCAGGTAAGGCTCAAAGGGGATATGGAGATTCAGACTCCTCTTCTTTCTTGCCCTTTCACCTGCTGGCCTCCATGACACAAGCAGCTTCCTCTACCACACACTCCTTCCATGACAGACTACCTCAGCACAGACCCAAAACAATGGCCGCCTGACTATGGGCTGAAACCTACAAAGCTGTGAGCCAAATACACATTGAGTATCAATTGTCTCTAATTTTTTTAAGGTAATAGGAGGATTAATGCCTTATGAAGAAATTCCTGCAAAAGTATGATAGAACCAATTATTATACCATCCATTCTTCATGTTCTGTTTGAGCACAGAGGGAGTTCTTCTTTCTCCTGCTTATAGTGTCTTTTTTTTTTTTTTTTTTTTTGGGAACCGGGGATTGAACTCAGATCCTTGTGTTTGCCAGTCAAGTGCTTATCCTACTGAGCCATCTCCCTGGCCCCATAGTGTCTTTATTAATGCCATCCACTTTCCCCTTTTCTCTTGTTCCATCTGTTTTCTGAACACCATCTTACCAAAGAAATAGAGGTACCGATGAGGCATATATTTCTCATTCTTTCTTTTTGAAGCTAGTTCAGGAGAGAGCAACTCATCCAAGGGCTCAGGGATGGGAGACTCTCTAATGAACAATGTGCCTACTTCCTCTTTTGGGAAGAAGAATTGGGTGCTTGCCCTTAGGCTCATGCCTGTGGGTTGACACTGGAGTGCTATAATGTACTGAATATTGCTAAGGTTAAAGTTTGAAGAGCCTGTCTTTAATGTTATTTCATTGAGCTGCTATGAGCAGCCAACAATGCAGCCAACTTTTAACTGGATGCAGTATTTCATTTGTTCTGGCCTAATGCTTTTCTAGAAGGGCCAGAAAAACTTATTACTTTTCCCCACTTTATTTCAATTTTTCTTTCTTCAGACTCTGAAAAACACTTACACTGAACATTAGCAGACACGCATTTGTAACTATAGTACTGAACAAGCCTGCAGATTGATAAAAGCCCACTCTCTATCTTCTTTGTCTCCTCCTGATATATGCACACGTCTTTAAATTGAAGCTTAATACATGCTTTAGACACATCAAAAATAACATTGCTTCATCCTATTAGATTTTCCATAAGGATAACAATGGGAAGAGAAACCTTAAAATTCATGAAACTCCTTGGTATTACCCAGTAATGGAATAAAACCCAAAGAATTTAAATAGTGTGCTAAGGTCATATGACTAAATTGTGCTAGAGGCATCACTAGGAGTCAGGGATTCTGAATATCAATTTTTTCGCATATTTATTAAGCAGTTAATAATTTGCTAAGCTTTCACATATATTGTCATGGAAATTTTCAAAATATTAACAAAGGAATTTGAGAGAGTCTCGAGCTCTACAAAGTATAGCTTGATTTGCATCTTTTAGTCATAATAACTTATATTATTCTTCCTTGTAGAAGTATTATATTGTTCATGTAAAAGTATTAGAAAATATAATGTTAAAAATAGGGGGAAAAAGAACTCTGTACTTTAAAATTATTTTCTAAAAATCCTTTATTCAATTATTTATTTGGTACAGGGTCTCTCTACGCAGCTCAGATTCAGTGATCCTGCTGTCTCAGCCTCCCCAGCACTGGGATTACAGCCATGCACCACTATGCCTGGTTTTCATGGCTAGCACTGTTGGGGCTGGCCCAGTATAAGTACCAGGGATTGAGCCCGGGTTCTTGCACTTGCCCGGCAGGTGCCTATGCTGCTGAGCTATCTCCACGGGCCTTACACATTATTTTGAAACATATTCTTCCCCTTTGATACAGATTTTGTCTCTTAGAGAAGTTTTAAGTTCATAGTAACACTGAGCAGGAAGTACTGAGAGTGCTCTCTGCCCCTCTGCAGCACATGCCTGGTCTTGCCACCAACACTATCCCATCCTGTATCAGGTGGTACAATTGATAAGCCTACATTGATACACTATGATCACCCAATACCTGGTTTACCTTCGGGCCCATTTTGGGTGTCTTCTATAGTTTTGGACAAATATAAGATTTACCTATCATTATAACATGCAGACTCATCTAGATTTTCCTTAAAAATTCTCTGTGCCCACTTATTGATCCCTGCCTACCTCTCCACTAACTCCTGGAAACCATTGCTTTTTAAATAGTTTTTTTAAAAAAAATAGTTTTATAGTTTACTTAGTCACCTCCCATAACTTCACTTATTTGAGAGCATGCAGTATATAACTTTCTTAGATTGACTCCCTTTACTAAATAATATGCATCTAAGTTCCCTGCATGTCTCTTCATGGCTTGATGCTCACTTATTTTGAGGAGGGCGACCTCAGAAATCTGGAGATGCCAAAAATTTGGAAAAATCTGAGCAAGTGAGCAGCACCAACCCAAGAGAGAAAATGTGAAGGCTGCTACCAGGAAAGTCATAGGGATGTTGCCACTCGAGCCATTTGGGGCTCGCAGCTTGCCATAGCTTTCCTTGGGCGCTGGACATGTTTTACAATGTGATCTGCTGGATTTTGGTCCTGCTTTGTTTCCATTGCTTTTGGCTTCCCTAAAAATCCTTTTTGGAATGGGAGTATTTCACCTTGGTCTTGTATATATGCAGTGTTTAACTTTCCTTTTTATTTATGTAGGAGCTCACAGCTGAGTCTGCTTTAAGGAAAAGCAAGACTTTGGTCTTGGAGTCATCAACAATGCTAAATTGTTAACTGTTTGGCAACTCTTAGAGATAGAATGGTTTATATCTAGATGTCCCTATAAAGCCCCTCATAGGTGAGGGGCTGACTGATCTGGGAAGCACAATACTTATCAGTGTTTTATTCTGAGGTTATAGCTGAGTGTGATTTGGGAGGGGAAGCCTGGTAGGAGGCGGTGGGTCACTGCAAAGCTCTTTTTCTCTCTTCCCTCCGTCCCTCTCTCTGCTACCTTCCTGCATGAGCATTTCTCCTCTGCCATGGCAGTGCCTTGGAATCAGCCAGCAATGGACTGAAAACTATAGAAACCGTGAGCCAATATCAGCCTTTCCTCCTTTACATTGTGGGTATCAGGAATTGTGTCTCAGAGACTAGATAGTGACTAAGACATGGACTAAGTACACCTTGCATAAGGAGATGGACATGAGTGTTTTAGGGTCCAAGAACTGAATGTTATGGCTTGCATCTAAAATGTTCCCCTGAAGCCTCCTGCTTTCAGAAGTGAGACACATAGAGGTAATCAGACCAAGTGAGTCTTAAGTTTATTGGTGTATTCTTCCGCTGATGAGTTTGGGGGGCTAAGGGTACAGGTAGGAAGGGGAGCCTCGTAAGAGGCTCCTCAATGGAGACACAGTGGGAAAGGTGCACCCACTTGCCTCCTCCCTTCCTGCTTCCGGATTAGCATGGTGTGAGCTGCCTTCCTCTACTCCCAGAGGCCCCCTCACCTTTCTTTGGAGCCAGCTTCCTGTGGTCTGAATCCTCTAAAACCAATAACCAAAAGGAAATTGTCCTATAAGTTGTGAATGCTGAGTATTGTATTCAAGTGACAAGAAGTATCTAAACATATTACATCTAAATTATCAAATTTGTGTGGTGTAGGCATTGTTCAGTTTATTTCATTATTATCATTTTGGTATCCATAACAATCTATGCTTATCTTTCATCTTATAACTGAAATTTGTAATATATAATTTCTATTTTTAATATTTATTCTAGTTTTTAGAAAACCAGGTTTTCATCTTGTTGTCCTCTATCTAATCCTATATTAAATTTTATTATTTTTCTGGTCTGGTTTTTATTATTCTTCTCCTTCTTTTAGATACAATCTTAAGTGATTTATTTGCTATCTTCTTTTTTAATGTATTTTGTACAGGGCCTACAAGGTCTCACTACACAGAGCATACTCACAGTGATGCTCCCTGTTTCTCAGTTTGGCAAGCGCTGAGATTATAGGCCTGTGCCACCAAGCCCAGTCCCATTCACTGTCTCAGCAGGTCGTGGGGGCGGGGCTGGCACAACAGGCCTGGGATCAAACCACTGGCAGCCTCTGTGTCTGCCTAAGCAGGCGCTTTTTTTTTTTTTTTTTTAGTAAATCTTATATAGTTTCTTCACTTACTTTGCTTTTTTAGTATTTTTTTTCGTTTTTTGTTTGTTTGTTTGTTTGTTTGTTTTGGTGGAACTGGGGATTGAATTCAGGACCTTGCACTTGCCAGGGAAGCACTTATTCTACTGAGCCATCTCCTCAGCCCTGAAGCAGGCGCTTTAATCAGCTGAGCTACCTGGCCGGCCCTGCTATGTTCTTTATAATATAATTAGTCAGTGTTTTCAGGTTTCCATTAAACCATTTCTTCACAGCATCCCAAATTTTGAGAGGCTGTAATGTCATCATAACTTATTTAAATACTTTAAGTTATCCTTA